GGGTCATTTGCATTGGTCCAGTCTGCTCTTGCCAGAGTTACTGTACGGCCTTTGATGACAGGTCCTTGTTGTTTCAATCGTTGCTGATGAACCTCTCCAAACGACAAACGGGAGATATCCGGAAGCATTGAAACCGTAGGGCCATCGATGGAGAACTTCTCGTACCCTTTGTCGGAGTGAGGCCACGGTGGCCAGCGGCCAGGGTCCGACGGGAACTTGAGCATTGTTGAGTATCTTGAGGATAGAACAGCGAAGGCCTTGCAAGATGCACGATGGAGAGTCAAAGGGGCATTGGTTCCAGGTGCCTCAAAACGTGCCAGGATCGCCTCTCAGGAAGAGAGACAAACAAGAGTATAGTCGAGGTGGCATCTCCAAGTCTAAGAAGAGAGACTCATGTACAGGACAGACATTCATCTCATCTTCCTGGCTGCAAGCAGAGTGGGGGGAAAGGCATCATGACTGGAGTCATGGAGCAGCGTCCTGATCAGGAGGGAAGAGTGTGAACCCATGTTCGTCTGGTTGTGTGACTGCTGCCCCCACAAGCATCACCACGTAGAGGGTGCATGTCGAGGGTGCAGGCAACGGCCATTTGAAGATGGTTGAGATCCCTTCTTCCGTGGCAAGGGCGAAGATTCTGGGGGCATGCCCGGGACAATTTGGTGTTAGAGTGGCCGACACAGCGGCCAACTGATTCATGAGGGAGACCAGCATATCGACGAACGGGTGGGTTACTGAAAGAGAGTCCAGTAATACAGTACTTCCCTGATGAAGGGCAAAGACGTGGTTGGAGATACTGTACCGCTGATGGAGTATGGCCCACGACAAAGTTGGTGATAGAGCAGCCGACACAGTGGCCAACTGATTCATGAGGGCGGCAAGCATATTGATGAACAATTGGAGATTGAAAGAGAGTCCAATGATACAGCATTTCACTGATAAAATTCAAAGACACGAATGATTCTCGTTGGCCCTGGACTCGGCGATATTATAAGACATGGTTTGTATGGGCTCAAGCGAGTCACTTTTCTCCCCGTTCGAACTTATTCGGCGTATCTCACGTAATATGCCTAGACAATGGAGCCGGGGTATTCATTCGGGTCACTGGACCACATAGCTTTCCGGACACTCCTGCATGTCGACAAGAGAGCAATACAGTACGATAGTGTTGAGCCGCAACTGAGGTTGGGGTGCCCTTCTGTGAACGTAGTCAAGTGCCCGCCAAATAGCCTTCCCGTAAGTGGCTTGGCACACTCGTCTCTCCTTGCCGTTATGATTGCTGATTGGTGGATGCTTTGATCCGCAGAATCAATAGTCCGGCACGTCAGTTCGATAGGTTGCGTGCACGTGCCACTATGCTCCTACTTATCCAATGGTAGAGAACACGCTTACAGGGAGGCTTGTAGATCGACGCAGGCGAGGCGGATGCGACTATGCCACTTTCGGTAAAGGAACAGGTGGCGGATGCATTATCGCTCGAAAAGGCCTAAGCAGATTCAAAAGGCCTATGGGGAAGCTCCGAGTTACGGGCCATTGCGCCATTGCGGCCGGGGAAGCTGTTGACAGTTTCGAATATTTTTTTATTATTACGATCACCGATTTGAAAATCGAAGCTCGCTGCTTGACATCGGCACGTTATGCCGGTCGCCACTGGGCATAGGAGGGGCCTGCCTCAAGAGTTCAGGTTCCATGAAAAGAATATAAGCAGTCCCCGAATGCTGAAGGTGTGCTGTAACAAGCCTTCAAAAGTACAATCAACCTAGGGGACTACGAGATGAATCAATGGTGCTACAACGGGCAAGTCGACGCGGGCCAACAGCCGATAGCCGAACCATATCCGTCGAGCTCGGACGCTTCTTGGTCCGCTAGTGCTTGGTGGCAGATTAACTATGGTTTGAACCACTCTTGGTGTTGTCTGAGCACTCCTGCCATCTCCATCTGTCCAACCATCATGCCAGCCTCTGCAGCCGTCACGATCCCGATTGCTGTGGCTTTCAGACAGCCACCCCTCTCTCTCATTCTCGCTCCTGGCACATGGCTACCACACACACATTCCTCAGGTTGTTATTATCTGAACACTCAACCGTATCTGTGTGGCTCCTCAGGGTATTCTGGGCTAGACCACAGACTACCTCAGGATTTTGTTCCGACCATGGCCAATGATCCAATCCCCTTCTGCCAGCAATACATGAGCTGGAGTGATGAATCGACGAGTGATTTCGCACTATGGGCAGACTCTACGCAGAAAGCCCATGAAAAAGACGTGTCAACAAGATCGAGCCGAATCGATGACGATGCGTCTAAACTACCGGAACATCAAGCACCCGAACATGACGATGGTCTTATGAATTGGCAGGTTTAATGAGTCCGTCGGAGAGCAAAATGCAAGGAATCAGTGAATACGTGACGAACTCTATAGGAAGGATCTTACAGAAACCAATTCGAGCGACGTGTATGGTCATGTTCACAAATGCGGGTTCCTGTAGCACGGAGATCAACTATGAAGATCACTTGAAAGTCTATCCTAGATACACACACACACACACACAATTTATTACGCCCGGCGGCCAGGCCGAAAGGGCAACTAAGCTATTCTACTAATACATTTCTCAAGATACGTCATACTCTCCTTGAAGCCCGTACAGATACACCTTTTTCCCCTTTACCATTACCTCGCTTGCTACATCTTTACGGATTCTCGTGTTAGTAATCTTACCGTAGCAGTCTGGCTTGAAGTTGATTCTTCAAGTGTTCAGCATCCTATCCTCGGCAGCCGAAGCGCGCCTGCTTGATGAGACACGAGGTGAGAGTCGAATGGGCGGGTTTGATGATTAAGAGGGTTGAGTCGTGATTGATTAGCGGACGTTATCAAGTCGTCCTGTTGCCATTGCGAATCGTATCGTCGTCCGAACTGCTTTCAGATTTGGAGTCCAAGACTTGTCGTCTGCGAGTTGTTTCCCTCCAAGGTAGAAAGACATGTTACTTCGGTGTGTCGCTGTGACTTGAAGCATCTCCGTTCGGAAAGTCGTCCATCGGGTGCATCGGAACAAGAAATGATCGACTGTCTCTCGTGCGTGTCCGCATGCGCACTGGTCTGTTGGGGCTGCATTGATCCGATGGAGATAGAGTCGTTCCCGAAACCGCCCTCCCCCTTACCGACACATTGCAACTTCTCACACGGAAAGTTAAAATATAAGTGGGCCACGCTACGCCTAATCAGAAATAGTACTTATTTTAATTTGAGCATGACTAAGCATGGGACCTGTCCCATAGTATTTCTGATACCGCACGAAGTGCTGTACTGGAAAAAGGAGTCCGGTAATGAACACATCGTTATTAATCTGCCCCCGTGGTTCGAAGCACCCGCACCGGGATTCCAGTGGAGGTGCCGTCAACAGTGAAATCGCCCTGAGAGCCTGCCGATCATTACCCCGCAGTGCAATTGAGCCCCCTCTGCTAGCCTTGATTAGTCAACCAAGGATTCGACTGGTAATTGATTGCAAATGACACACCCAGCCACACCCAGCCACCCACTCGCCAGCCACAGAGCTCAGCATCCTCCGCCGCTTCAGCCTCTGTTACGTCGCGAGCTTCGCACGTGACATTTGACCGCGGCCTGTTTGACCCTACCAGGCAACCGCGAAGGCTGAACACCGGGCAGCTGCTTAACTCTCTGCTCCCGCTGCAACTTACTGTACTGTAACAGTAAACCACATTCTGTGTTACTCCTTCAGTTTCAAGAACTTAATCGCTAGCCTGTTATCGAGACCTTACGTTCTTGAAAGCCTCCGTTACGTTCTCACGATGTCTGCAACCTATATTTTCACGACTTCGCCTTGGTCTAAGGAAGCGATATCACTCGGTAGCATTGTGCCAGACAGACGATACCCAAACGAGGACATCATCAAAGGCACCGTGACCGAGGAGGATGTTTCAGTCACTATCAATAACGACTTCAAGGGCGTTATAGATAATGGATCGCAGACAATCCTGCGAGGAACAATCGCTGCACTCTGGATGACAATTTGCTCGATCTTCTGGAAAGTGGAATCCACAGGCAGCTTTGAAATCTCAGCAAAAGAAGCGCGCTTATACTCCCTTTCACAGCCAACGGCAGTCTTCCAGAAGCTTTGCGAACTGGAGCATGTTCGCAAGTTTTTCCAGGATTGCCATCGACAGGAAATCACGCCGGCATTCATCACTGGCTATCGAACTCTTACTGACGCGAAATTATTGCAGAAAGGCCAGAGTGTGTCCACTGCTTCAGGTAGTACCGATGTCAAGACCGGCGGCATCGGCAATGCTCCTAGTGATGCAATGAGATCCACCGTTCAAGTAGGCCAAGAGATTAATGACGGTCGTTGCCTTGAATACCAAACAAAAGGGGAGGCGATCTTCGCAATCAACTTCCGCAAGATTCTCATCAAAGTCCGCAGAAGCGAATTGGTGCCGTCACTTGAGCGCCAAACCCCGACTAGCTGGCTCATTTTTTCCAATGTCAGAGGAAAGCAAGTCGGGGAGGCAGAAGTAATTCAGGTCTCCCTCGATACGAGTGGCGTCGTTAAGGGAAGTGTTTTGGTGTTTGCAGATGCCGACGGGTCATTTATATCTCTATCTAAGGGAGATTTACCTCAGGAGGAGGAGGAGGAGGAGGAGGAGGAGGAGGATGACGACGACGACGACGACGAGTAAGAGAGTACTTGCCCAATTGGAACGCACCGAATTATATTCACGGATCACCTCGGCATACTGAGGTGAGAAAAGTAATGGTTTTTCCCTAACTACGTCCACAAATGTAACTTGGCCAACCGCTTTAACATCCGAAATGGACGAAGGGTGCCCAACCAAGCACATCTCGATTTACCGTGCGCTTTCCCACCATCCTTTTGGTATTTACCGAATCATGCAGGGCCCTGGCAATTGCGGCATCATCGCCATCACTCTCAGAGATTCTCTTTGCGAAGGCGTCCGAGAGAGCATTTACGATGTCATCGTCGACCGCCCACAATGAGCCGATGACATGAGGGAACCCGGCAAGCTGAAATCCGCTGACAATGTGGAGCATTTCGTCGGTTAGATGTTCGTCCCCGTTTTTGGCTGTGTGGCAAGCCAGGAGACATGCCATTTTCGCAGATTTGGTATTGTGTCTAGCGAGATCTCGAAATGTCAGGCGCTCCGGCTTGAAGTCAAGGCCTTGCTTGAGCAAGAGACCGCTGTTGGCAGGATCGTTTTGATCAACCTCCCCGTGGCAAGCGAAATACACCGTGTTGGCCTTGCTCAACTTGTTTAGAACCTGGGATTTCGAGGGTATTTCAAGAATTTCTAGATCTGGTCTGCCTGCACTTGTTAGACGGGCTCTGATTGCTTCAACATCTCTCGACGTTTTGAGCTTGCTAGCGTAGCCATCAGTTTCTGGCATAGTGACCATCAAAGGAATCTTTCCATGCAATTGGACATGGGAGCTTCTTCGGCGTGCCTGAGCGAGTGCTTTAATTGTGGGGATGTAGGAGGAAACCACGTAGCTGTCTGTGTTTTCGTTCTCATTGTCTGGAAGTCCTGCCGCATGTAGAGGGGCGAGTCCCAGTAAGCCGCTGGTAACCCACCAGATTCGTGGCAGATCATCAGAAGGACAGCGAGAAAGAAATTTCAACTCATGGAGAACTGGGCGGACGGCATGAATCCAGAGCCATTTCAGAAACTTGCGTAAATCCTTGTTGCGAGATCCTAATGTAGATATTGGTCCTTCGGTAATCGCTTTTGGTCCATTCAAGAGTTCTGTATATTTCTTTAAGTCTTCATATCGAACTCCCGGAAGTCTGATAGCCTTGACCTCTCCTGACGTCACAATAAATGCGTCACACCGAATGCCCGATGCATTGAACGCGACGATCGGCCCGAGCTCTGCTAGTTTTTGAAACTGCTGCGGACTATTGAGCTGGTACGAAGGTGTGATTCCGAACTCGGTTTCGATGCGCTTCTCTAGTCGCGTTTTCTCTTCCTGATGTTTCATGATAGCCAGAAGTGTGCTGCTTGTATCTAGTTCTTGCTCCGCTGGGGTGTTTTGAATCGGTGTTTCCAAAGAGACTAAATTGCGTATAGTCATGTACTCGCGATAGAGTTCTGGGCTTTTCTCCTTCAGTTCCGGTAGATCGGTTCGCCGATCTATAGATACGTTGAGAATGCAACCACGACCCTTTTCTAGAACTCGCAACGCTTCCCATGGCTCGCCATTTGCTTCTAAAGTGAGCGCTGCTGCAACTGTAGAGAGTCCGCCATATGCTTTGAGAATGAATTGCTGATCGTCTCGACTCAAGATCTGGCTGTTGAGCTCTTCGAGAATGTTGATTGCAGAAACGAAAGTCCTGCGAGCTTCGGTTATATCCCCTCTCGAGATATGCGCTTTGCCTGCAAATATTGCAGCGAAGATCTTGGTCGCTAATGGCGGGCCAGATAGAGACATTGCTTCTTCGTACAACCGAATGCTGGCTTCCAATCTAGAGTCGATGCCGGTAGCTTCGAACCCTCTCTCCAAAGCAGATGCCAATTGGATGAGCACATCAGCTTGTTGCTCTGGATGTCCATTGACCGCAACTGCCGCCTTTTCAGACAGGCGAAAAGCCGTGATTAGATCACTCCATTCCAGAAACCTGTCGTATCTCTTCAGATAAACTTTCGCCAGCCCATTCAAAATTTGCCCGTAACTAGTGTGCCCTGGAGGAGCTAATCGGACGGCTCGGTGATGGTGTTTGAGTGACTCAACCAGGTCTGTTTCACTATTCTCGCCAGAACGCCAGAACCGTTCAAGGTGCCGTCTGCCCAAATTGAATGATAAGCTTGCACGAAGCGAAAGAGCCTCGGGTTTGAGTGCTAGTGCTTCGCTTAGGCAGCGCATGGCTTCGTTTAAGCTGTCACTGTTAGATGCGCGAATGGATTCTAACGCTAGTAGATTCGAATGGGCCAATAGCACTTTGACCCATTCCGAGGTGGTTCTTGCGGTCGTCCTTCCGGCGTCAATGATCGCTTTGGAAAACCGAAGGGCCTCTTCCAGATATCGCAGCTCACGTCCTAGTTCGTACAGCTGTCCATTAATGGTGACCAGCAGATCTAGACAATCTTCATAGTGTTTGTCCTCCTTCCGCATTGCCCTGAGCGCCATAACTGTTGATTCCAATGCCAGTTCAAGGTCTTCGTCTTGCTTTCTGTAGCAAAATCTTCTTTGATGCATGTCAGCAGAGTAGTAGAGCGTCCAAGTCCATTCTTTACTTTTCTCCTCCAACAGTGATGTCACTTTATTGTTGACTTCGATGGCTGGATCCAGATACTTTCGATCCCCATTCTCCGGCCTGGTCGCGATGCTTCGGAGTTTTCTAGCCAGCTTCAATATGATGTCTGGCAGTTTCTGGATATTGATGCTTACAAGCTGTTGTAACTCCTCATGTACTTGCTGGATGTAATTGTCCGGTAGCAGAGGGAATTGCCTGGCTGCTTTTTCTGGGTCTTCCCAGAACATGGCTGCCGTAGGACCGATAACGTCCTGGGCTCCTTCCACTGCTTGTATCACTTGAGCTTGATTGCCAGAGTGTTTGCCGGAATGAAATAGTGCCCGTACACGGAGAAAGAGCACCCATTTGAACCGATATTCTTGCATAGAAGAGCACTGAGCTCGAAGTTCCGCGACAGACGCGATATAAGGGCTCGTAGTTGCCGCCATTAGAACAAAATCCAGTAATACCGAAATCGATGCTTCTCGAGTCGGAAAGCGTGCGAGGAGGAACCCTTGGGCAAAATTTCTTGCGCGCTATGGGCTTCCGCAGGGAAGGGACCGGCAAGCATGCGACAGCAAGTTAGGGAGAGTGAATGGTGCGACGCTAAGCGATGCGTTGAGGACGACCGGTGAAGGGAGGGCGACGGTTGTGGCGTGGCATTGATGATAGAAGCAGCGGCGAGCGTCGCCGAAGGATGGAGGGACGGTCTGGCCGGAGCCACAAAGCCCTTCGAATCTAGTCGTTTGCCTCTTCTTCACCCCACGTATCGCGGACGTTAATTATCGCTATGTGGGCAGCACGGCCTCGGAAGTCGCATGGGAACTCGTCGCAGTTTTCACTTGTCTTCAAGCGCCAACCCCAGCGCATCTCCTGCCCGCTATTCCTGTCACGGAAGTTCAGCCGCATTTTGTCCTTTTGCACCAGGCAGACGTGCCCATTCTTTCTCATCATGCCTCTACTCAGTGCATTGACCATACATTAACCACTGCGCTAGCTCAGATGCTCCTGTACCTTTCGTTGCAGTCTCCGGCGGTAGGACGAAACAAACTGAAACCGCGGCTTCCACGAAGAGGGGGGCGCAAAGCCTCAAAGTTAGACGCCACAAGAGGCTGAGCTGCGCCGTTCTGCCGGCAGCTACAGGTACCTCTTTTTTCGACTACTCACGAAGTGGCATCCCTCAAGACAGCATCAATCTATTCCTCGCTACTGTTGTATAGGCTATCGATATGGCCGAAGCAGTTGCCATCATAGGACTCGTCTCCTCCATAGCGTCGCTATTCGAACTTAGTGTTGGAATCGTGTCTCGATTGCACGACTTTACCTCCAAAACCTCGGAAGTTCCCGAATCATTTCGTTCACTGACAATCCGGCTGCCTCTACTGACGGAAACACTTCAACGCATCCAGACTCAGGCAAATTCACACCGCCTTCCTGACGATGTAACCAAAGCTCTGACAGCGGTTGTTCGCAACACTTCCGAGCAACTGTTGGCTATACAGACCCGCCTCTCCAAGATTCTCCCCTCCGATAGCGCATCGAGGCTGGAGCGGGCTCTGAAGGCGCTAAAGAGCCTAGCTAGGGAAGATGAAATACAACAGGCACTGGAGAAGATAGAAAAGAACATTAGTGTCCTGGTGTTATACCAGACAACAGGGCATGTGGACACTGGTGACCTCATATTAGCACAACTGTCAGAATTAACTATGATCTCTAAGTCAGCGTCGAGGTCGTTCGGAAAGGATGAGCTTTTGTCTCTTGCGCGAGCAACTGGAAAGACAATTCTGGAAGAGCTTTCTCCACAGACGCAATCGATAATCTCCAACAGCAACCGGGGACTTCTCTTCAGGTTTTCGCAATTACCCATCGCTGCGCAGGAGAAATTCATAGCCCGGCAAGAAAAAGAACTCCGTCAGTTCGTGGAGCAAGAAGAAGCAAAAGTCCTCGAATTCTTGACTGGGTTCGACACTCGAGATCGATTAGCAGACCAAGGAAGACGTAGAGCTGAGGGTTCTTGCGACTGGATCCTCGAAAGCCCAGACTACCTCAATTGGGTTGGAGGAAACTGCAATCGATTGTGGCTGCTTGGAGGCCCAGGTTCTGGTAAGACTGTTGTGAGCGCCTTCATAACAGAGGCTCTGAACAATGGGCTCAGGCGTGAGGACGTTTTGGCGGTCTACGCTTGCTCATTCACAGATTCGCAGACAACATCGGCAACGAACATATTATATGCGTTGGCTGCACAGATTGCACAGAGCTCTCTTGCATGTATGGAAAAATGCAAGCGATTTCTAGAAAGACATCTCTCAGAGGGCAAGCTGAAAGCGGAAATCCAAGACCTCCAGGACCTTATAGTTGAAATGTCTCTGTCTACCGATATCCAACGAATCTTCATCGTGATTGATGGACTCGACGAAGTTGAATGGGAGCAACCTGATCATTTGATGGTTATCGTTGATATTCCACAATATGCAAGAAAAGTCAAGATGTTAATCACTAGCCGACCATGTCCTCGGGTTGCGAAAGCGCTGCAAGGGTACTCTACGCTATCAATGAACGATGTAACCTTCAACGATGCCCTCGCGGCATTCATTGACGGGGAACTCAAGCGCAGCAGGCTTGCAAACATACCACAGCACGATTTCGATGAGCTCAAGGAGAGCTTGATTAGGACAAGTAACGGAATGTACGTTTCATCCTTAATGATTACTTAGCAAGTGCACAGAGTCAGTGCACAGGGTTGATTTCGGTGGAATATGAAGTAACGAGTAGCAGGTTCTTACACGCTCAAATGGCCATTAGCCTCCTCTCAGAATCTTACCAGAATGTTCGTACCTTCCAACAGACAAAGGAAGCCCTACTCCAGGATTTGCCGAAAACCTTGGAAGAGGTCTACAATTTGAAAATGCTCACCATCCAGGCAAACAACAGTGCAATCGATGCTACTGCTGTCGAAAGTTACTTACGCATCCTAGCTGCTAACCCTGAGATGGATCCACTTACTGAATTGCACCAAGCTGCCATTCAGGAATGCCCAGATGTCCCATACTACACCCCAGAAGACCTAGCTGAGCGAGCTCAAGGTCTGCTGAAATGGGACCCAGAAAGCCGACGGCTTCGATTCATCCATTTAAGCGCAATAGATTATATGCTATTACACACTCGCTAGATGATATCCGAAGAAACAGTGGTATATGATTATGAATTTATAAGAATATGATGCTACCAAATGTTACGAGTCAACCTTCATACGACCGTCAGGCCGGGCAGGCATGGAAAGTCGAGCGAGAAAGGCAGCCTCGCTGGCAAGGCTGCCCATGGTCACGTGATGACCAAAACAGGAAATGTCCCGTTGCACCGTTGCACTTGCAACACCTGCAACAGTGCAATGCCCAGACTATCCTATTCCGGAAGACTACCTGTGTATATAGTCAGAGCTAGAGCCACTGTACTGGGGGTACATGAGCTCGAAAATGTCTGGCCAAGACAGGCCAATGCTGATTGGCCAGATCCATGGTCACATGACTGGACAATTGTCCAGCCGGCCTGTGATTGGCTGGTGTGTTGCGCAGATATCAGGGCACCTGGTGCCAGTTGCAACTTCGACTTAGACATGCTCTCAATCAACAATTGAAACCCCCTGTACTGTTCACACGGTACGTGCTCACGAGGAGCCTCGCGCGCAGCAGGGGAGGAGTATCGCTTTCCTTCTATTTGGTTCGTTCTTTTCCTCCCTCCCCGCCTTCTTTCCGTCCTCAAACGGTGCCGTCGGACTTGCGGCACCGAACAAGAGAAGGAGCCTCGTGCGAGGAGCAGGGGAAGACAAGGCGGGTGCGCCTGGTGGTCGCGGTACCGACGATGCGATAGGGGCACATCAGAGGGTAAGCCGGTGGTTGGTGGTTGGTATTGGTGGTTGCAGTCGATGTCCAGTCCTATACCCTCGCCAGAGAAGTCCTCTTTCCCATCCTACAGAGACATCAGTCTACACCGCGTAGATTGACCCCCGAGCCGACCCGTTACACCACTTCTATAGGAAGTGTAGTCAACTTCGTTATCAATCCTACCCCTACCAGTGGAGTAGTATTATCTGATACCTGGATCCCTGCCAACACGGTATACGTTATACCTGTCATGAACGGGGTTCTGACAAGCATATAAGCTAAGAGGTCCAAATTCTGGCATAGAATGCTAGGATTCTAGTCTTTTTGGGTGGATCCCCAAGGGACTGTGGACCTCTTCCTGACAATACTATCCCTGAGACATCTGTCACTGCACTTGTCCCACGCATCAGTTAACCCATGGTCTGACGGTTGCTGAGTATCAGGTTCTTAACAACATTAAACTTTCCGGAGTTGCGTTTGGTGGTATCAAGCTGTGTCGGATAGTCTCTTAAAGAAGCTCTCTTGTCTAGTCCCACATATTTTCTACAATAATAATCGGACAACCACAAGGCTTACAGAATATCAGGCGCCAATATTCATGCATTCCCGTAATGTTGATTATATCCTTGGCATTACAGATGTAGTAAGACTGATTGTAAAGATTTCTCTTTAAAATTGGATGATGACGGCATTGCACTTCGACGTGAACGACAATCAGCCACCAAGAGAAGGTGTGCTTAGGTGTTGCTTCTTTAGGCATGGTTTCTGCGCCACACCTGCGCAATCAGCCACACCTTCTTCCCGCTCCTAAGTATCACCGCAGCTTGATTTCACTGGGACCTATGGGCAACATATTTCCTTTGAGTCGCCACGTTCTCAGCTTCGCCTGGATATAGAGGCAGCCACTGCCTGGTTGCCGCGTAAGAATCATTTGCAGCTCCGCTGGTCTGTGTAATGATACTCTCTTCCTCGTTCTAAAAGTTCCTCTCAATTCCTAGTCCATCACTTCACAATCTTAACATCCAACTCTAAAATGTCTGCAGGCGCCACCGTCAACACTCGGCGTAAAAACTGGATCTTCACCCCCTCCCAAGACTATGAGTACGGCGGCTCCCTCGCTCTCGGCCAAATCCTCGAAGACGCTTTCCAGCCGGCCTCTGCCCTCATCGCCTCGGGCCTAAAACTCCCATATAAAGATCTCCTCGAAGACACTGGCACAAAGGAAGATATTAACATCGAGCTCGAAGACCACCTCACCGCATCCTTCCGGGCCTTCTGCCAAGCTACCGGGGTACCCCTCGGCGCGAACGCGTCCGCCGGCACAAGTAACGATTCGACCACGAAGTGGCATCTGAAGAAGTTGGAGTTTAAAGGCTTCGTGCCCTCGCTCCAGTACGTTAAAGAGGCGCTGGCCTCGGGCGATGTGCCCTCGAAGACGCAGTGGTGGAAGCTGCGCCGTAAGCTGTACATCGTGACGGGGCTGCGGATTGCGCGGGGGTCAACCATGGAGAAGGAAGAGGAGCGCTCGAGCAATATAAATTTAAGTGTGAAGGCGGACGGATTTTCGCAGAATGCGCCTGTGTTGGTCGGCGCAGAGGTGCAAGGGGGCCACACGAAGCGACAAAAGGAGTCGGTGGGGAAGATCTCGGATTTTATATTCGCCTACCGTTTGAACGAGATTAAGTACAAGTGGAGCACAACGTCCCATAAACCCATTTCGCATGGGCACACAGCAAGTAGAGGGGATGCGAGTGAGCAGCAGCAGCAGGAGACGGAGCCGGTGGGTTATGACCTTATTGGCTTGGATCCGGATCCATTTGCGGTGAAGGAGGTCATTGATGCAGATCCGAGGGTTGTAGATTGATTATCGAACAGTGGTCTTGAAGTCGAAGAATAAATTTAAAGGATTACGATTCACTTTCTCATATCGCCTTTGGAATTGATCCAACAGGTAGTGCAATGTGTCATATGCCCGCATCCAACGCGCGATTGATATCGCGAACAACATCATTGTGTTCATGGCTTTCACTGAACAACTGCCACGGCATCACGTAGATGTAATTGTGCGGATCAAGCACAGTATTTGCCGACATCAACCTAGAAAGCACAGCCTTCATCCCACTACAGCTGTGAAGCCGCATTTGCATCTCTCTAGTGTCATCATGTGGCACTTCTGTAAACTTCATGAACTCGATGACTAGCCCAGCAATACCGGTCATAACTGCAGTGGCCATTGATGTTCCACTCTGTCGCATCTCTATTCTGATCCCGTACTTCTGCTGGGAATAAGCGGACAGGATTTCCTCACCGATGGTGCCAAGGGCATTGTCTTTTTTGTCGCTGGAAGGGCTAAAGGAGGATTTGATACCCTCATAGGTACAGGAATTGACTCTGATGACCTCGTCCATTCGGGCCGGATGCCCAACTGGGTCTTTGGAGTAGTGTTTGTCGTTGGAGGCGGCAGCGAAGAAAAGCACCGGCACATCGTGCAAGCCGATAGCCTTTCTGATGGCCCGTTCAATTTTAAGTTTCTGTTGCCCAAACGCAAGTGCCATTGAGACAATGTCGACCTCTTTTTCTGCAAGCCAATTGATAGCCTTCAGAGTAATGTCAGAACACATTTAGCAGTGTGAATTCAAGACGTACCTCAACAATTCTGTCTTCAGATCTCTCGTCCCCCTCATCGTTTTCGAAAACTTTTGCAACGTAAAGTCGTGCTGTTCTACAAACTTTGAGGATAGTATGTGCGCAGTGTGTTCCATGTCCACTATTATCGCTCATTGGTTCATTTTCCTTTACAAAATTCCTACACAAACTTTGGTGGATCTGCCGTGTCTCGATAAATGGTTTAAATGCGGGATGGTCGAGATCGATACCAGTGTCCAAGATTCCAATCATGACCATATCTTTATGATGAAGCGGGCTCTTCCTGTACCTCTCGAGAAACCTGTTTGCTTTCTCCATTTGCGATTCTCCTGTGAACCACTTGTCGGCCTCTTTCTGTGCGAGTGTACGCTTGTCCTCTGTGCTTCGCTTCGCTACTTCTGACTGCGGTGTCACCAACAGCAGTTCCTTTGCCCATGCTGCTGCTGTCCCTGCTGCGTATGGCCGCCACATCTTGTTCTGGTGCGAGTCGGCGTAGTGGCAGATGCCTCGGATGACAAGGCATGGGAAGCTGTTCATTAGACCTGCCGCCTCCGTCTCGAAGCAGAGTACTCCGCCATTTGCCTCACTTATGGCATCTCTCTCGACTGCGTTTTTGATGGTGTGGTTGCCCGATGCAATTGTCCCGTAGTGAACCACGGGCTCTTCGCTCGGTCGTGGCTGCCGAGCAATCTGCTTCTCTGCACTGCATGACTGGCAGGTCGGTCCGTCTTCGTGGATGTAAGACGCCTCGAACAAAACGTCCGGGCCCGCAGCCTCACGGGTGAATTTGGGGATATGACGAAGCTTCAAAAGGTGTTCTGCGAGATTACTTCTCCCCATTTCTTCGCTTGCGTGCATCTGCACAGCTGCGCTTCTTAATATCGCCGGCGGAGAGTTGAGAAACCCTGCGCGCTGGAAACCTCTTGGAGTCAACTTGCCAAGGTCGAACTGTATCACACCTCCATGGTCTTTACGCGGGGAGCTAACTACCACGTCTCCCAGACGGATATCTTCCTCGATGATTGGAACACCGCCTCCAATGCCGACCAGCAGACCAAACCGTATCGACCTGAATGTCGACATCATCTGCTTTGCCACCACTGCTGCAACGAGGCTGCCATTCAAGCCTGCTGGCAGACAGGCGATAACAACATTGTGTTCCCCTATGCGCCCAAGCTCGTAGGAATTATCGTCGTCATCAGCCTGCTCGAGGCCTTCGTGCCTTTCGTCCAGCATTACCACTGCGGCAGTCAGTTCGACCGAGAGCGCGCACACCCATCCCACAGTATATTCCTCACGGCGAAGACGGCGGCGGGCCATTCAGGCCGTTCGCTATGGTGGGCGGCCGAGCGCCGCAGGGCTGGAGAGTGTAGATCGCAAAGGCTCGACGAAGGTAGTAAAAGGCCATCTAAGGTCGTGGAAGGGCCAAGGGGGTAACTGCGGGTTGCAAGCGAGGCCAGCTGCGAAGAACGGTTAAGGAAAACTCGCTCGCATTCGTGTCGCCTGACATTGCTGCCTGGTTGCGCCATCATTTAACCACGAGCGTCTCGGGTGGCTAATGTGCCCACAGTTTTTAAAGGCTAAGCGGCGCACTCAGACCTCGCTAATACATGTACGCATCGTACCGAGTACGGAACTGTCGGAACGATACGAGCGATTTTATTACCGGACTGCCTTTTCCGTATTCATGTGGTATTAGGAATACAGTGACACGGATCTGTCGCTTAGTCATGCTCAGATTAGTAGATAGACTGCTACTGATTGGGCATAGTATAACCGGCTAATATTTTAACTTTCCGTGGGAGAAAGTTGCAATGTGTCAGTAAAGGGGGAGGGCGGTTTCGGGAACGACTGTACTTCGACTATGAAAGCGCGAGTATGAAAGCCCAAGCACCCATATCCGACCAAATCCTCAAACGCCGGCACTCCTTTGTAGCAAACTATCCTTCATTCAGTTGAAAGTATAAGAGCAATTACGCCATTGAAGAATCCCAAACCATCCATATCAGCCGCTGATTTCATTTTCAGTCGGAGAGTTGCAACACTTTCTGTTCCAAACGCGCAAGTTGAGCCATGATCGCAGCCATCAGATCGGAGTTCTCTGGAGGGGACTCTAGTAGGCCTTTCGCGGCCTTTGAGCCTTTCCGTTTCCTGGGTTTCTGTTCTGGAATGAACAACTCTTCCGGGTCATCGGTTTCGAAAGCACGCAGATCCATCTCCCCTGGCCCATCTGAGCCTGGCATTACCTTACCCCTGAGCCGAGCACGCCGCTCCGTCTTCCCTAGCCCATCTGAGCCTGACATTACCTTGCCCCTGAGCCGAGCACGCAGCTCCGTCTTCCCTGGCCCATCTGAGCCTGACGTTAGCTGGCCCTTGACCGGAGGCGGCTCAATGAGGTGCGATGACGGGGCGAACACTTTGATTTCATCATCCGCATCCTTCTTACCAAGCATCTTCCTCAAGGCCGTTCGACTTAGGATGTCAGTCTCACCGTTCTTGAATTTAACTAAGCCGTAACCAGTGGCCGGCTCGGAGAGTGTCATACATTCCATCTTTTTCGTCGCAAACCCGAGGAGCTCTTCGAAGTTTGCCACGTCCTCGTAGGAATATTTTCGATCAGAATATCGAATGTCTTTTCGCTCTGACGCAGGCAAGTCAAAATAAGCATTTGTTGCACGGTGACCGACTTCCGTTCCCGAAAGTAGGATGACGGGGTTGTCCGATCCTCGCTGTTCGACCACAAATTGAACGCCGAACATAATTTCGACACCTGTCCTCCGATCTCTTCGACAGAAGGGTCGGTAGCCCAAGATTTTCTCACCGTCCTTCGTCAAGCCAGGTTCCCAATACGGTTTTTTGGCCATTGTGTTGGACTCTCCAGAGGGAACCTCTTCTACACCCGGGTTTGTGGACTGTGAAGGTTCGTTTGAGGATCCTGATTTGGTCCGGCTTGTCTTCTCTGACCGTGCCCTTGCAGAGCCAGTATGCTGTGGAGTTTCGTTAGAGGATCCTGATTTGGTGCCGCTTGCCTTCTCTGACCGTGCCCCCGATGGCCCACTGTTGCCATCTTTGCCCTTTCCTTTTCCTCCTCCTTCAGCAGCTTCGTACTCCTCGACCCTCTGGCGCCAATCATCGGGAATATTGAGTCTCCAACTTTCTGGGTAATGGTTGTTTCTACAGAGTTTCTTCAACTGCTTATCAAGTGAGACCAGCTGGTTGAATGCATCCTCATCTTTGGGGTTCTTCTTCAGGCGGGACTTCACGTGCGACATCTCCAATCCAATGGCGCGCAAGACCTCGGTTCGGATCAGGAAGCTCTCTTTATTGGGCAGACGGTCTCCTTCATTCTTTCCTCTGATCTTTTGGTTGAGTAGCTCAATTTCGTCCTGGCTGGACGAATCCTTATATTTCGCCAATAGCTTGTTCACGTGGGGCGTGGCTTGCTCATAAATCCTCATTCTAAACTCATCCGGAACCTGCTCACCGTTATCGACATTGTCCTCGTCAGAGGAATCATCAGAGGAATCATCAGAGTCCGAATCATCGCCCCAAGCGTTAGGCCCAAATTCTTCACCGAATGTTCCGTCCTGGTTATTGTTGGCTTCATTAGCTTGGTTAGTTCGTAGTTTTGCGTCATACTCCCTTTTCTTCTGTGGATTGCTTAGGACTTCGTAGGCTGCGTTCACCCCTGGACGCACTGTTAGCGTAGTTTTTCTCTGGAGGAATATGCAGAGACGTAGCACTTACTCTGAAATGCCGTGGTGGTCTCTTTGTCAGCATTTTTGTCGGGGTGAATCAACGTTGAGATTTTGAGGTAGTTCTTCCGGATATTGAAGTCAACCGTATGTGGAGGCAGGTCTAGCAGCTGATAAAGATCTGTGTCCTTACAGTTCAAGACACGGTTTACCTCCTCTCGTTGTTCTTTGGTATATTTTCTCCCGGTCTTTTTGTTAGAGGATTTTCCCCCCGGTTTTGCCCCTCCACCCGAACCTTCGTTGGTGGCTTTCACCCCAGTATCTGCCATAGGTACGTCGCCATCTGAGTCTGGCGTGGGGCTTGAGCCCTCAGGTGGGGGAAGAGGGGGATAGCCGACAGGGTTAGCTTGTTGATCTGTCTTGCCATTTTCTCCATGTGCGTTACTGGCCTCACCATCACCAAGTGCTTTAAGCTGCGGGTTGTTGCTAGGCGCACTGTTTCCAGAGCTCATTTTTGGGGAGTTTGCCTCGGGTTGATGTGGTGCTTTGGTGACAAAAGCTGCAACAGTATAGTCAACGACAGCAAAACGGAGCAAGCTTGAACTAGGAATGACTCAAAAGATTCTCAAGTCAGAGAGTTGAAGTAGGGTAGATGTGTTGGAGGAAGAAAGAACAGGTGCAGACTGAGAGTACGCTCCTTTTAAAGGGCAGAGGCGTCCTATGCCATAGGTAAGAATAGCAACAGACGGGTCTATTTTTACTTTTGCTAAATTTAGATACTTTGAGATACAGTATAAGACTACTCGCTGAGTTTCCTTCCATTCAGATTCGTCAGGAAACAGCTCTTCTCCGAGAACATTTTGCCAAACATTACCACACTTCACAATATGAGGCTACCAACCTTTGTCCCAAAAGAACATGCTGCCAATGCAACGCTCAACTTGGACTCTCCCGAGATTGATATTAACATTGGGGGAAATTCCTCCGTGTTCACCGTCAACGTCACCATCAAAGATGAAGGGAACATAGACACATCTTTGACCCCGAGAATCCCTTCTGCTGACGGACCTCTCCCAACGTTGCTGAGTACTGGACCGACATCATCAGTCACACCGACCTTGAGAAGTTCCATGTCAATGTCAATCAACTCCAGTGGGTTGCTCGCAACGACAGTTCCGGCTACAAGTGCGTTGATACCGTCTTTGTCAACATCTGCTATGAAAAGTACCCCTACACACCTCGAGCCATTTACAACCCTACCAGCACTCGTCACTCATGGAGTCGATGGAAGCTCATCGACAAATACATCATCTGGGGCATCTGTTCCTCTTATCATAGTTATCCTTCGTACTCTATTTGGTTAGGGTGACCAGGCACAAACTCGGTAGCTATCATGTCACGGTTGTGTACGTGGCGTCAGAAGGAATGGACCATGATGCCGGTCCTGAGATTTAGGTGGTCCTGGATTATCAATGCCGTTAGCTGAGTCTACTGTATAGAAGCAAGGATAGCCTGTTTAGAACTAGGTAGAATGTCACGGTGGATATTGTACTATATCACTATCCCGCTGATCTCTCTCCCATTAATTAACCTTCAGCCTGTAACTATTGCTCTCACACACAACCCTGGGGTTCACAAACGGAGCAAGAACTTCAATGTCAAGATCCATTATGAACGAAACATTCTGGAACAAGGTTCCATTGACATTCGCTGCATCCCCACAACACTCGGATGGACTCACCAATTCACTCAGTCCTACTGATGAACTTCATTCGCCTCATAGGCATGGAAGGCGAGATCCATCAGCCAGGTTTGAAAACCAAGTTGTAATATGACAGAGGCGCTCTTTCCACCTTTTTTGGTCCTTGTAAATGTTTTAAGTGGTTTTACGGAGGTCCAGCCGGTTGAGCTAAGCTCAGCCTCGCCATACCAATGATATATCGATGCTGAGGGGAATGTGGTGATATGAGGCTCAACCAACTATCATGACACTGCGAAAGTCTCATGGAATCCGTGTTTGGAAGTTGTAACGTAAGGAAGTTTTTAGAATGTCAGTTCGATGTGTATATACTTCTACTTCCTCGGTAGTCACCAGACTGCTAAAAATTCCGGGTATGCCGTCTCAATTTTCTCTATCAAAAGCCCACCAAAGTCAACATCCAACACGAGATTCAAAGTTTCCGATTCACTCTATTACAAGCAAGAGTCATACTGTAGCCTATGAATGGCCCCGACATTCATTGGCACATTCATTATCGATTTACAAATACCCTCAGATGATCTCCACCTCCATGCAAGATGTGTAAGTTTCATTTAATATAGCCGGGGGGGTTCCAGGATTCCCAGGTACGATGGTTGGCCAATCCCACACCCAATAGAGTGTGAGAAGGGTCCCGTTGGCAAACGGGATACCGGTTTCATCGTTCAGCTCGATGGTGGTTCCACACCATCGGTTGGGTGCCTCGGTGATTGATGGCCCTGGACCGAATGTATTGCTTCGGGTGGTAGCGATTTCACTGTGACCAGTAGGATCAAACTGAAAACACCGACCGTCATCGAATGGTGTGCTCGTCAAGAGCAGGCCACGTTGGTCACCTCCAGTCTTATCAGCGGTCCATTGGCCATGAATAGCGGTAAATTTGTCATCATCCCGAGCTTGGGTGGTGGCGTACACCGAGACTTGGCCTGATGTGGGTTTATTCGGAGGAACGTCTGGCTGGGTGATGTGGCCATTTTCCAGGTATCGCAGAAGGACACTACTACCTTGCGGGGCCATCAAGACAGATCCTCCACTTTGATTACCTTGCGTCTGAGTCAACTTGCACATTAGATCTGAGTCTTGAAAAGTTAATGCTGGAGCTTGGGGAAGCAGATACGTGTTATCTCCATCGACAAATCCAGGTGTGGTCCTCGGTACTGATTATTCTCCGTCAGCGTGCATTCCAACGGCTCTGACTTGGTGAAAGTCTCTTACCGTAGCCGCGAATGAAGCCGGGATCACCCACAGGTTGACCATCTTGGTCCACCAGAGACAATTGCTCAATCCAGGTGTGGCAATTGACCAGGGTTAAGGAACAAAGTAGCAAGCCTATGCCAGCCAAGAGAGTCATTTTTACTTTTGCTGTCTTTCGAATGACCGTATGTGCCCTTGCCATTAACGTTATATACTCTGCTGCGATACAATGCTCGCGAGAGATTCTAAAAATAGTCACCTTTGCATCAAACATAGGACAGTTATTATTAGAATAGTCTATCATTGTGTGCGAATCGCATCTCTGGATCAGATGGACTTCGGAGAAAAGGCATCGCAGGAAGTAATCCAGACTACACCACACGGAATCTGGCTTGCGCTCATGAGGGGAGCTTTATATCGGCTACCCATTGGGAGATCATCAAGTCCCTGGGGCAATGTACGATTTGGATGGCATGTCCTTGACCCTGACTCGCCGACCAGACATTTTCAAATGGACAACGTTTCACTCGGGCACGGACGAACAGTAGGTGGACCATGGGAAAGGCGGGCTCGGGAAGAAGTGATGCTATTGTGCGGCATTGACTGGGCTGGGGGATGGGGTGAGTAGACTAAGTGGACTTAGTTGGAACCCGAGGGACCGCCGATCCCTATGCGCTCGTAGTGGCTGATGATCCGACCACTTGTGCTCGGCGTTAACAGCTGGCACTCTAATGGACTGCTTAGCGCCGCATAGAATAATTGCACATGACAGCTGAAACTAGTTATATATTGACCGTCGAACTTCAAACTCCATGCAACAATTTATCGACTGTTCCTCGACATCTCATTTCTGCCGGCATGGAGGACAACCTAGACGAAATATCCGCTCAAGGCTCAGTGGCTTATCGGCCCCAAGGCAAACGCATTCGAGTCATACAGCAGTTTGTAGAAACAATTCTTGAGGATGACACAGCTTCTGAACCACCACGCCAGCCTTCTGAGCAAGATGAAGAAGTACACCTGTACGATTTCATCGGTGCTGTAGGCATCCAGAAGGATCGTCGAGGGAAGAAGTCAGTGCGGTATCACGTCAAATGGAAAGGCTATGGTATCAAGGCTATGACGTGGGAGCCGGAGGGCCATATTTTTGAAGGAGATTTGCTGAAGTTATGGTCAAAGTATGGTCGGATCCACGTCCGCAAACAAAAGGGCCGGCAGAGACTCAGGCACAGTATGCGACAAATACATCAATGCCCTTCAACAGAAGCTCACGAGACCAATGTTCGGGAAACGGATCAGGTCGACCATGTCACACCGTCAAGATCGCCGGAGGCTGTCGAAGCGCCTTGTGAGCAGAATTTTGAACGGGATGGTGGCTGTGACGGCCTTCTTCTATCCAAGGAACCAAACGCACCAGCAGAATCTGATGGTGCTGATGCTCGTGGTGTGTCTCGATGTACTTCACCGCCCTTATCTCATCACTCGCCTGCACCTTCACAACAAGGCTTTGATCGGCTCGGTGACGCACATCAACATACTTTGGAAATCATCCCTCAACTCGAGGTTCTTGAGACGTCTCAGGGGCTGTTGAACGAAGAGGTTACGCCCTCGAGCCAATCAGACATTCATGAGATCAACCATACGGAGAGGATCGACCCAGCGTCTGTGGTTAGCGATGTGTCTGTACATTATGCAAGCATCTCGCACGATAAGGTGAGAAGGAAAAAGTGGTTCACTCGCACCACAACCGGCTGCCTCTCCTGTCGCAGAAGAAGAGTGAAATGCGACGAACGTCGCCCGTCATGTGAGTAATTACCCTGCTCCTCTAGCATAATAAGGCTCCATCACAAATCTGGTTCATCTACTCGCATGCTGTCAGGTGTTAATTGTCTTCGTCGGAAGTTGCCTTGTGAAGGATACGATTCAGGTCCTCAATGGATGAAATCCCAGCCTACCACGATGACCCCCATGGGACGGGATCTCGGCATGATGGACATGACTATGCTTGGACTGGCCCAACATTCCGAGAGCCATGGTCGGATATCAAGCCATTTTCTCCCTAACAAGTGTCTGAGCCACTCCGACGAGTATCACAAGAAGCCAAAATACCTTCCAAGTCTAGCAGAGCTGGACTGGGCGACATTGGGAAAGTATGGTCATGCAGAATGGCCTCTGAAACCCAAAGACGCCCACGGACAGCAAAGCTCCTTATTGACGGAGGATACTCCGAGACCTATACAGTGTTCAAATCCCCGCCCTATCTCATACTACACTCGCGCCTTGTCAATCTACACGGGCCCTCCACTGCCGGTCGAACCGTCTGTACTATATGGCAGTGACATTGCCCAACAATCGCGACTTGGAGACTTGCCCAGCCCACTTCGGCGCATTACCGAACTATACGACCTTTCTTCAGCCGGTCGAGCCCTCTTCACCAACCGTGAGTGACATTTCCTGATCACCCCTTTTGTATTCTCCAACCGTTTTCGGTACAAGTTCAGTGGCTTCGCCATATTGGGTTTGAAAGAACGTGGCTCACTGCTTCTGGAGTTTTGCTTTCTGGTGTCTCCCTCTAGCACGGCACATTTCGGTGAGCACCCCTGACATATTTGAGTGTACCAGCTTTTGTGCCGCTACTGCAGAGGCAACACCGACGGAAGGAATGAGAGCTACCGAGATGCTTTGAATGTGCGTCCCGAGGAAGTACCACCAGTAGCAGAGATACAGAATACATAGCGTCACCACAGACACTCGCAGATCACACAGAGCACGACGAGGCTGCCTCCTTCCGAGGCCCAGCCTTGCAGGTGGGCTGGTCGCGACCGTAGTCGGCACACCTGCCTCTTTGGTATCAGTCGTCCCGGGTTCGCATGCGGCCTGCGGCCAGGCCAGTTGGTAAACATATAAGTTACATGGTTTATATCCAGTTACAGTACAGTACAAATTATGAGTACGTGGAACAAGTATGGTGCCAGGTATTGTATCCGAACTGGCTGCCGCTTGGTCTCATTCGAGTCTTCACGAGTACATTATTGATATCGACTAAACGCTATATACGTAAATGTATGTGTTTGCCATGAGACCGAGTATACTGACGCCCAAAAGCATATAGAATACACCATGAAGTCCACCAACGTAGGCGTGCAATATTTTTTGCAGCATCGTATCTGTACTATCGAGAAGAGTGAGCTCATAGACAAAAGCCTCAGCATCTTTTGCAATGGATGTTGAAACGCCTGCTTTGGACAGAACATGTGCCATAACATTTTGAAACAGGTTTCCCCCAACTGTCACACCGACACACATTCCAAGGCTGCGAAAGAATGTATACATACTGGCTCCTGAAGCAGAGTTGCTTGGATCGGTTGTTGCCTGGACATGATAGTTTAGAGCACTCAAAAGGCACCCATTACCAATTCCAATGATCAGAAGGATCAGAATCCATACCGTCGGTCCGGTATCCTCTTCGAAGAGGAGAAGAAGGCCGGAGCCCAGAATTGTTAGAATCCAACCTACGACGAGGATCCATTTATAGCGACCTGTGCGGCTGATGACTTGCGATGTGATGGCGGCCCCCGGGAGTAATGAACATGACAGGGGCAGAACACAGGCACTCGACACCATCGGAGTTCGTTGCTGGGCAGCGGCAAAGTAGAGCGGGACGTAGTATAAGAGGCAGAATAGCTAGTATATGTTTCAGTCTCCCGGCGTTTTCGTAAGGCATTTGCACTTACAATAAGACCCTGTAAGAAGGAACAGAAGTATAGCGCAATCCTTGAAGCTGTATTGAACAAGGAGGATTGGAAGATAGGGAACTTCGGGAAGTTATGTTCCCAGATACCAAATAGAAGCGTTCCGCAAAACCCAAGTGTGACGCTGGATATAGTCCACTTACTGGTCCATGGAAAAGTCACCCCTCCCCAAGATAGTCCAAGGAGAACGCTGGTTAAACTTGTGAAAAATATCGCTGCGCCTGCCCAGTCTACCTTTGACCAGGAACATTGCGCCGTTGGTCGAAAAGACGGAATTGTGAACGGTATGACGACCAGCGCTAGTCCACAGATAGGCAGGTTTATCCAGAATATCCAGTGAAAGGTGGAGGTCGTTGTCAAGACACTACCGAGGAATGGCCCAACAACACTTCCGACGGCCCAGGTGGTCAGAACAATAGAAAACCATTTAGGTCGCTCTCTCAAAGGAACGAGTCGAGCAAATATGATTTGGACCAGCGTGATGATGCCGCCACCGCCCAAACCTTGTAAAGATCGCCCAGCAAGCAGAGGAATGAAGTCCCGGCTCAGGGCACAGATGATTGAGCCTGCAGCAAACGCACTGACAGAAAACCAGATCATTCTCATATGGATGCCTAATCGCTCGGATATCGTCGAGATGAAGGGCTGCGCAATCGCGGAAGTCATGAGGTAGGAGGTGCCAGTCCAGAATGCATAGATCGTGGTGCCACGTAGCTGGCAAGTAATGAGCTAGACATGTCAGTCAGTACACACTGTGGCAGAGCCATAACAACTTCCCAAGTACCGTACCGGAAGAACAGTTACCAAAATTGTAGAGTCAATGGCAGCGAGGAAGGATAGGAGCGCGAGAACCATCATACAAGCAATATCTCCAGCTGATGGTCTCCAAATGGCAGTGGCAGATGAACGTGATACCATCTTTCGGCGGGATAGTTACATAGGAATTATTTTTGGAGATGTATTGTACGTTACTGCGGCTTCGGTGGTCCTTATTATAGGCTTTAGGCCGCCTTTCTGGTTGCCAAACTTACATATAATCACCTTTTTCAGCCAATTAGGAAACTTGACGTCATCAGGTGCATCACATAGCATTGTGCGGTCTCACACTCTGCGTCCGATTTGCAGCATCCTCCAATTACGTGATACAGAGAATATGTCCTCACATCCGAGGCTTCTGATCAATAGTAGTACAGAGAGCTACGGCCACCAATCCTCCTTCGACGACAAAGTTGCAGACCTCGTCAAAAGCTCGTTCAAATCCGCCCACGCGATCGGGGCAGTAACAAAGCTGATCGCGTATCTCTGACAATGCTAATAGAACATTGCTGGTCTCATGCTTGAGAAGGGCGCCCTGTGGTTGAGTTCTGCTGCTTTCCACCCGCGTAAAGCCCGTCTCTTTCAGCAAGTCCGGTAAATGACCTAGCCATCCCAATGACTGGACGACTCGTGGCATCTCGCAGCCAATCGAAACAGGTACGGTTTGATTAGCCTCTCTTGCATAGGTGAGGATGTATGGCGGCGCAATGTCAAGCCACTGCAGCCATCCACCCTCGCGTAGCATGAGCTTCAAATTGGCGAGGACTCGATCATAGTCCCTACGGCCCAGGCCACCCGCTAACAATCGAATGTTGATGATATCAAATACCCCAATGTACTTTCTCTCCACTGGAGCGAGGACGTTGAAGGTGTCGAAAGTGCAGTTGCGGGGCCATATGTCATCGGGTGGAAATAGTTCTGACGAGCTGTCCAGCCCCACAACCTGACAGTTGCTGGATTGTGACAATTCGATGGTCCATATACCGTTTCCACATCCAATGTCCGCAATTACCAACGGACGCCCCGGGTCTCCTGTCTCGCCAACTGCAATACGAGAGTCAAGTAAGGATGCCGTCCTTCGACAAATGAGGAGGTGTTGGGCGGTCAACCTGGATGAGGCGTTGAAGTTGCGGGATAGGAGATAGCCATCTCTAGAGGTAGACATGTTATATCGCACCTTGATAGTTGCTGTTAGACAACATCGACACAACAAGACAATGCGAAGTAGGCCGAGATTTTGACTGCAGACTGCGGTAATATAGCTGCGGTCAGCACCGTGGTCGACAGGGTAGGTACCGGACCGCGACAGTTTCGTTAGATTTCGAGAAGGGCGTGGAATGTTGCAATTAACGGTGTCCGACCCAGTTCATACGCGGTACTGATGGTTTCATGCGTGAGATGCACGTATAGATTTATCTGGGGCTATTTCTGGGACCCAGTGAAAGTGCTTCTGGAGCAGGGGGTGTAGCCACAGTAGCCTCTTACGCTCAATATGACAAATACTCTCACAAGGACTATTATCCCTCCATCTGGTGGATCTCGTATTGATTTGGAATTCAGCTGGAGATCGAGAGATCCACAAGCAGATCCGACCGAGCAGCGGGCAGTATACAATCCAGTGATGGCAGATGACCTCGTACTATATTATTGCTTTGCCCTTCAGCTACCACTATATTAACTGGCGCCGAACATGGTGACTCCGACCACTCTCCCCAAGGTCATATCAAGATCTCAGTCCTCGAAGGGCAGAACCAGGAAAGCTGCTCAACTGGACAAGAACACCATCGTTCGCTTCGACGACCTTTCGGAAGAAGGCAAAAAGGCCGCTTTGGAGAAGTCTCATCGATACAACACCGAGCAATCCGTACCCTCCCCGTCTCAGAAGTCAAACCCAACTCAGTCCGAGACACCTCGTCATTCTCGATTGCAGAGCTTGGGGGATCGCAGACCCTACATCATGGCATTTTTTGGACTCGGCTTCATTGTTTTGGCTGTCCTTGCCTCCTTGGCACTGGCCGTGGACAAGGACAAAGACCCGAGTCTTGTCGCCAAGCTCCGGCTTGCCAATACGAATCTGGATCGATTGAAACTCCTTCCCAAGGACGAGGACTGGGTTTTCGATTTTACCAAGCAGGATAAATACACCTTTTCGCCCGGTGGAGTGATCAATGCCAACGCGGCGACCTTCCCTGCAACTGTCGGCCTCGGTTTGACGCTGGTAAGCACTCAGTTGGATGACGACATCGTGGTCGACCTCGTGTCTGATGGAATATACAGGCAGTGCTTAATCTCGGTCCTTGCGCGATGCTTCCACCTCATCTTCATCCACGCGGAGCCAATTTTGTGGTAGCGATCTCAGGCACTACTCAAACCTACATGATCAATGAAAATGGCGCTCGAACGGTTCAAGCCACTCTCCGGTCTGGTCAGATGACCATCTTTCCAGAAGGGTCCATCCATACAATGATGAACATTGGGTGTGACAACGCCCAGCTCATCTCGGCCTTGAATAGTGACGACACCGGCACTCTGAACGTGGCTAACTCCTTCTTCAGTCTTCCGCAGAATATCTCTGGTACCGTCATGGGCGGAGGAGTCAACATCAGTGATATCGAAGGAAAGGTGCCGGATCCAGGGAGTGGGGCTAACTCCGGCCCGCATGAATGTCTGGCCGCATGTGCTGCAAGGGCAAACGGCACCCGAGGCCTTGGCTAAACTCGACTAGGTTCTCTAAGGTCATGAACGGGGGCCCTATTGACGACTCGGGGGATCTTCATATTAGCGCAACGGGGGAACGAGCGCTTTGACTTCGATCAGTTGGACAGCATCCGGGAAAGGGAGAAGAACGACAAGAGGTTTGGGTGGCAGAGTAGTGTATCATGTAAGGACAAGGACAAGGCACAGACAGCCTAATATATATCACTCTGTATCTTATTCCTCGTTAAATTCTCTTCATCCTTCCAAGGCAGGCCACAGCCACACCATGTCGTTGGGCGCTCGACACCTACCATGATTCCGACACCTTCCCGTACTGTACCTGGTTGAAGCCTTCATCGCACTTTTGTAACTTCAGTCTGGCTGTAACGAACATGATCTATTCGGACTGTGTGGAACTATAACTATCACCAAGACATATCAACAACACAACTTATCCTCACTTCACCCTCGTACTGTAATCCAATGGAGGACAACGATAATATGCCATATCTCGAGTCGGACGAATCGAACTTGAATGAGAATCGTACAGGCGAAGCGTCAGGCCGGTTTGGCCGGTTTGGCCAGTTTGGTGGGCAATATGTTCCAGAAGCACTGAAAGAGTCCTTGATCGAACTTGACGAAGCATTCGTACAAGCCAAAGCGGACCCCGATTTCTGGAAGGAATGGAGGAATTTATCCCCGTACACGGGTCGACCTTCACCGCTTTATCACGCCGATAGACTCAGTCAACACGTGGGCGGTGCACAGATATACCTCAAGCGAGAAGATCTCAACCATACGGGAAGCTCGGCCATCAACAATGCCCTGGGTCAGGCCTTGTTGGCTCGAAGGCTAGGAAAAAGGCGTGTGATCACGCAGACGGGATCCGGACAGCACGGTGTTGCCATGGCCGCTATATGTTCGAAGCTCACGCTTGAATGCACTGTCTACATGGGTGTTACAGATGCGCGACGACAAAGTGTGAATGTGGTTGACATGAAGATCCTGGGCGCAGAAGTCGTGGTGGTCGGTAGATGTGCTGGTGCGCTGCGCGATGCCATGAACGAAGCTTTAAGAGCCAGCATTCACGACCTGGATAGGTCCTTCTACGCGACGGGATCTAGTATTGGACCTCACCCATACCCGATCATGGTGCGCACGTTTCAGAGCGTAATCGGGCAAGAGACCAAAGATCAAATAAGAGACCTCACTGGTCGCTTGCCTTGTGCAGTGCTCGCTTGTGTCGGAGCATCCAACAGTGTTGGCATGTTCTTTCCGTTCAGGTCGGATTCGGACGTGAATCTCATCGGCGTCGAAGCTGCCGGGCATGGCATCGACACGGACAGGCACTCTGCGGCCTTGGGCAGTGGCGCGGTCGGTGTCTACCACGGTGCAATGACGTACCTCATACAAGATGAGCATGGGCAAATCAACACTTCGTCTTCGATCGCGGCAGGGCTGGACTGTCCGGCAGTGGGACCGGAATTGGCGCACTGGAAAGACAGTGCCAGGGCTAGCTTCGTCACGGTCACAGACGTGCAGGCGCTTGTCGCCTTCCAATCAATGGCACAACTAGAAGGGATCCTTCCTTCTTTGGAAACGAGTCATGCTATATGGGCCGGCATGAAGATGGCCAGCACCATGAAACTGGAGGAGACGTTAGTCATATGTCTCGACGGGAAAGGGGATAAGGATTTGGAGGTGGTGGCTGATAGATTGCGATACTGAAGCAGACCAAAATGATCGAACAGCCTAGTGAGCCTGGCTTAGAACAGCACACCTAAAGTCCCAAGGAAAATGGTATAGTGTGCTCCCAGTCAGAAGGTCCTCTCGAACCACGCTGAAACGAGCATAACAGATAATCCTGCCACTTGCGTTCCGATAGATTGAATCTGCTCGATGTGGTTCAAAGAGTCCGGACCCCAGTAGGAGCCAAAATCTCCAAGTTGATCGACTGTTCCATAGGAAATAGCTGCATTCCGTCTAATCCACAACCGATAACTTGAGCATTTCTTGCGACGGGAGTCTTTAATATCTGGTCCCACATAGTCCAGTACTTCACAAAAATCCTTGATATTGAGAAATGGAAGCCCTTTGAAGATTTTCATGTCTTGTGTACAATTACTGAAACGGTCGCAGTGGTCCTGTATGATGCCATTTCATCCCAATCTCCCGTTGTTGGTGGCCGTGACCAAATCTTGTATCATTGCGTGACCCTGGCTTAGAATGGACAGGTCTCCATTAGCTCGTGATAAGTAACGTAAAGCTCGTGCTGTAGACCGGCAAGTTGGTTGTGAGTAAACAGAGTCCTCACGGTCGCATCACAAAGTACACTTGGCCGTTCATCTGGTGAGGCTTGTACGAAGCGAGGGCGTTTCTCGTCCATGTACAAGGAGTCATTGGTGAGGAGTTGAGATTGTTCCATCCCCTGAAGACACTCCGAAGCTCCCCGTATAAAGTCGGGGTCATCAAAGTCAGCGAGTTGAGCACGACTTTTCGGCCACCCAAAGACGGGTCGAAACAGCATGCCAGTCGGAAGTATTGAAGACTCACCTCTGTGATGTCGTAGGGGCAGGATCGACTGGAAGATAGGTTGAATATTTGAGCATTGTTAGCGTTGTAGAGGTGGTTCGTAATGCTGTTCTTGTCCACCTTGGAGAGAGCGAGTGAGGGCCACACAGTGAACCTCCACACACGAACTTTCCACTCAGCACCACCACCACAGATATCTGGGCTCCATGCATCCTTGACAGCATCGTGAAGGAAGGCGGCCCGAAATACGTGTAGGCTTGGTCTGCCTATCTAGGCAGCCAAGCCACAGACTTCATTGTGGCGTATTGTGCCTAGTAAGCAGAAGCTCCACTCGTCACGTGCTACCCAGAAACAACAGTTCCCTTCAATGCCTGCATGGCCTGGGATCCAGTGTAGCTGGAGATTTATTCGTCGGTCTCGAAATGTCGAAATTCGTCAACCTTGCCAATAAAGACACGCACTACCTACATACTGTACCTACCCATGAGTCTAGGTGTAAATGACGCTGTGATCCAGCCCAGCTGCGTTTTTCGCTCTTGTCTGGTTTCACTACGCTCGCCCTCTGGCTTCCCTCCATAGCCTATCCTCCCCTCCGTCATTAAGTACAACAATATACCCAAACCTCGCGCCTTGGACGTCGGTGTCGTAGACATGGTACCGAGGAAAGCGATACCTCCACGGACAATAGCGGTTTGTGCACATGTCGTGGTGCTTCAACCAGCCCCAGTTCCACCAACGATTGGTGTAGAGCGCTTTAGACGACGAAAAGGAGCAGTCGTACAGGATGTTCTGTGACCATTTCATTTTTATTTTTGACAAAAGGGGGAGGACGTCTCAAAGATTCTGTTGATAATTAGAGATCCTAGTAGGTAGGTAGGTAGGTAGGTAGGTAGATAGGTAGGTAGATAGGTAGGTAGATAGGTAGGTAGATAGGTAGGTAGGTAGGTAGGTAGGTAGGTACTCGTAGTTCGCAGTTGCGGTTTGGTTGGTAGTGGGGCTAATGCTTTGTATGTCTTAGGGTGAGAGAGATTAATTCTATCGTCGCGACTTATATAAGCGGGTGTATATGCGTGTTTGTGTGTACAGTACAGAATCGCTATTGCCGTCATATGAACATAACCCTGCTCCCAAATGCAATATTTGGATACAGTGGCGTTCTTCCTTATGCTCTGAAAGTAACACGGCTCCCCACTTTGCGGTATTAAGGGGCTAGGTGGCTCCATTTGACGATGAAGAGGGAAGTGGATCGTCCTTTGATACGGAGCTATGTAGCGGACGTATGGTCTTCTGTGCTGGTCTCATCTATTTTCATCACCGGTTTTCTAAACTGAGCCCCGAAGTAAGTTGTATTGTGCTCCCAGGACCACCAAACTGCACATGCTGAATGCTACGACATCTTTTCCCTTTCCTAACACTGTTCGTAGCCTTCGATTTTGCATCTCCATCGCCAATGTGCTCCTAGTAAGTGATACAACGTGCGAGCTTGGAGAATAGCTTTTGTTCTCCCACTCTTCCTGACCTGTTTGTAGCTTTCGAATGCCCAATCGTGCAGTTGATTATGACTTTTAACCGTGTCCAGAATTGCTTTGACATAATCGTGTACATTGTTTCCTCCACTTGTTAGTTTTCGGCCTCTCTCTCGTAAGTGCTTTAGGATGATGAAGTTTGCTGTCCCACCCTGTTTCAGTTCTTGGGGCAAATGAATGAGGTCCTTTTGCAGGCTAATGCCCACTCCAACAATAGTCTGTAAGTGATTGACTAGATACTCCGATTCGTTTGCAGCCTTTTCGTCGATCTCTAGACCCAGAATTGCCATGTATACCTCTAGGCCGATAGTTTTGCCGTGAATAATCAACCGGTGCTCAGGCTCGTAGGTGTTGACTTGCTTGCAAAAGTTTTCGTAGACTATACTCATGAGGATGACGCGAATATGGTGAAAGACGACCGGTATAGTCTCCGAAGGCAGAAGGAACTGTAAGTGTACTCTCAATGCTTCTGTTGGAACCGAGATGTTAATGAGGCCGGTCTCGTTGATACTGGCCCAAGGCGTTGTTGGGGTTTCTCCGTCGTCAACAAGACTGAAACACTGCCAGCACTTGAGAACCACCCGAAGTGCAACATCATTCCTCAATTCAGTCAGCCGATCGAGAATAGTCGAAGTATACGCCAACCAAGCGGCCATAGCCGCTATCTCTTGCAAGTTAGCCGTCCATGGGAAAAGGAGCAAAATATGACCAGGTGCTTCTGAGACCCGACGCCTGTCTTCTTCGGCAAAAAAGGACACAAATTTGTGATGGATGATCAGGACGTCGTCCAGACATAGTCTATGAGATTCGGCGCAAGGTGGCACCTGAACAAGCCGTGCGTAGATTAATAGTCGGTCGTCGCGGGTCTGCTGGCACTGGGATTCCATTTGATCACACGAAAGATGCAGCGAGGTTCTGAACGAGGCGGTAGAGAAGGCGAGGCTTCTTCGAAGCTTTTTAAACTTTGAGGGTGACGGATGACTTCGTCATAGTCTGGGATCGCACCAGGGACGACAGTACTACAACGCCCCGCCAAGAAGCCTACAGCACAATTAGTTACCTACAGCACAGCGTTTTGGGTGAGTGGGCAAAATGAAGAAAGTCTCTCCTTCGAGCGGAGAAAGTAAATGAGAGGGAATCATGACCCATCGAACTGCAGGTTGGCCGGCATTCCATTTCCGCCTCACATATATTACTCCGTAACGTGACACACCATAGACCGAGTGAGTTGTATACTGCACTCTCTGAGCGACTGAGACGCACAATGCAAACCCCAGAACAAATCTTCAGCAACTATGCAATCTCGCCGCGAAGAGGTTTTCTTGCCGACATCCCACCGTTAGAGCGACTGCCTGAATACTTTGCACCTTGGGAAACACTGGCAGCCGATCTCCCTTCCCTCATAGCAAAACGACAAGTGAGAGGGAACATAGATGGACTCCCAGTCCTGGAAACGTCAGGCTTGGTGCACAAGGCAGAATGGCAAAGAGCATACTCCCTGTTGGGATTTTTGACCCAAGCTTACATTTGGAGCTCCAGCACTCCCGCTGAGGTCGGCCCTCTGAATCCCATACCTGAATCCTTTTGTATTCAAGCTGATGAGAATGACCAGTACCTACCACCTTCGATAAGTCGACCCTTTCTCGCCGTGGCTGAACGTCTGAAACTCCCGCCTATCGCCAACTACTCCGGCCTGGTTTTGTGGAACTTTACATTCAAGCTCTCCGGCTGCGATCCGACCAATCCCGAGCACATCCAAGCATTGACAACGATGACCGGCACCAAGGATGAAGAATGGTTCTACATGATCTCGGTCGTCGTAGAAGCACGAGGGGGACCTCTCGTAGCCGCTACCGTTCGCTGTCTGGAAGCCATGAGCCAAAATGACGACCCTGGCATCCTCTCTGCTGTCGAGTCAATCGCGAACGGTATCCGAGATCTGACCAGATTATTGTCAAGGATCCACGATCACTGCAACCCTCGAGTCTTTTATGACAAAATCCGCCCCATGCTCTCGGGGACCAAGGTATCCTCTTTCGACGTTTTACGTCGAGGCGTGTTTTACGATGTCGGTGACGGGCATGGTTTGTGGCGAAAGTACAGTGGAGGTAGCAACGCACAAAGTACTTTGATCCAGTTGTTGGACATTTTTCTGGGAGTTCCTCATCTAGGGAGGGACAAGACGCTGACAGAAACGCCGTCCGTTGGATCATCTGTCGCACCCGGTGGGTTCCTCGAGGTGTGTATCTGCCACCCAGAGTTTGGTACACAGGGATGCTGGCAGTACTAATGGCCTGAATCAGGAGATGCAATCTTACATGCCACAGGAGCATCGCGAGTTCCTCGCCCACATCGCACAGTCGGGCAGTTTGAGGAGGTACGTTGCGAAGTACTGTACCGACACGGACATTTATCGGGCGTACAATGACGTTGTTGAGGCTTTGGTGAGCTTTCGAAGTGTCCACATTCAAATTGCAGCTCGGTTTATCATCCAGCCATCCAAAGGTTTGCTTCATCCCCCGACTGGAGACTTCAGAGGAGCCGACCGAGTACTGACAACTCGAACATGGTCACCTCCCGACGAGAATGCTATTCGTCCAGAGCTGCGCGGCACCGGAGGCACAGAGTTTATGTCGTTTTTGAAAAAGACCCGTGATGAAACTAGAGACACTGTTATTGAATCGGGGGATCAGGGCTGTGAGCTCGACAGGCTCTCGTTGGCGAGTCACCATTTCTAACGTGATCTGTACAGAGATGAACTGGAGTCTGAGATCGGGGCCTACGTAGGGGGTGTGAGTGATATTAGATTGATCTCCACGAAGTATGGCTACTCGACACGGGTTCCTGGCAGGATTTTGAGAGACAAAACAAGCAGACAACGATACGGTATCGGTTACAGCACCATTTCGCAGGACGTTACTAGAATATTAAAACACTATAGGTATCGAATGGGCGGTTCAGGTTGAAGGCAATACTTCTTTTACGAGACAATAAAGAAAGATACTGTAAGCATACAAAAGGCAATGACTATATAACTCGGATTTGGAGAGCCGCGGCAATTTATAGTACAGCAAACGATACGGGGATTGAGTAGTTGCCTCATGTTTGTCCCTTCATCAGCTTTTGAGCAGCTCTATCAGTTCTGTGGCGCTTTGCTAATCCTCTCCCTAATCCTTGCTGCCATCCAACACTACGTCAAAAAAGTCCTTACAATCCGCCCCAAGGTCAAGACTTGATACTGCACTGAGTTGGTTCTCACACGTGTCCGAGCAAGGTATCTTGGTATGGCAGGGGTCACATTGATCGTCTGCCATCTTCCCCGCCTCGAGGAACGCTACTTTGCTCTTCAGGGTTCTGTTTTCCTAGTTCATTTGTCAATCTTGAGTGACTTGCGTAGCTTTCAAAACGTTTCTGACCTTGTATTGATCATCTCTGATCCTTTCAGGCTCGAAAATCCTTTTTTGTAATATATCTATCATTTTGTTCAGTTGACGGATCTCCAGCTCTGCGGATGTGTCCTCGCTGGTGTTGTTTCTCAAATGATTGACCTCTTTCGCCAGCTCGTCCCTTTGCTGAAGCAGACTCATATTCATATAGTGACACTGATGATTCCTCTCGGTTGACGACAGTAATTCCTCGTGCATCAAATGAACTGCATTCCGACAGCCATCGACAGCGGCAGACAACGTTTGAAGATTTTGTTCGACGCAGCGGACGTAAGCCTCAGGACCTTGAATGTCCGTGAGCATTTTGGCGAAAGCTGGGAGTTTTGGAAGATGATAGACAATATGATGGTCCTCTCACTGAAGGAGCGCTGGGCTGGAGGAGCGCCGATATTTGAAGTGGAAGGTACAATCACCTGGCGCTCTGATCGACATCGGGCTCCACAGTTGTGACAGGCCACTTAGCACCCACCACAGTACAAGTATGGACCAAAATAGAAATCCCTCTATATCCCTAGATAGTATACTGTATTTATGCAAATCATTAAACACAGAAATAGAAAATGGTTATTTTTGAGGAAGTCGGTGGAACAGGACATTACTCCACATCAACAGTCTCGTTCTGTTCTTGGTCGACGAATTTATAACGAGGTGGCATCTGCAATAGAGAACAGCCTACTAACAACAAACATGTCTAATTCCCTTCAAGAAAGTCCAACTGCACAAGATAAATATGTCGACCACAGGTTTGACGCAGGACCTGGGTTCGAGGAAGGAACACTCGACATGGACTTCTCTCTGCCACACCTCGATTGTACAGATCCTGATTTTCTTTGTTTGGACCCCTTTCCTTTTCATTCCCTAAATGATGAGAGTTTCCCACTTCTAAGTTCGGTCGTGCCAGCCGGAGTTACGGAACCATCACTGGCAACAGACAATTTCCTCCTTGATGGCTCCGGTGACTCGAACGCACTTCACAGTGAATTTCAGAGACGTATTGACCATCTTGATGAGACTTGCAGGAGACTACAAAATGAGTATGGCCAAACTATTGTCACTATCACGTGAAAAAGGGTGCTGATACAATATTTTCAGATTTCGCTACATGCAGAGGTGAGCACCACTCAGATGTATTACGTCCATAGGCTCTAAACTTACCTACTCGACAAAGTCGTGTTTGGTCAGTCGAAACGTACCTCAGGAAGCTGGGTGCTTGGTACTTCAACTTCAAGGCGGCTGTAAACAAGAACACTGCCATGTTGTCTGGTCGGATGGAATCACTTATGATGGGGACGTCTTTTTCTTGATGGCGATTGCTTCGGTGGCGCATGGAGAGAGACGTACAGAACGATGTCATAATGGAGCAAGCGAAGGGTTTTATAGTGTTGCCTTTCCTCCTAAGTTAGCCTGTATCTATTTGGTTGTACTATATCTCCGTATAAGATGATCACGAAGAGCACATTCCCTAATAACCAGTCCAATGCAGAACTGTGACTCATCGGAACGAGAAAGCAACCAACTGCTCCGGATACTATTGTCCATAGACTCGGGTTCGATTCGTTTCTCCTTCCCGCTGTACCGACTAGGTTGCAAAATCCAGGCGATGACCCTTCCTCCTCTATCTCCCTCGTCCTATGTCCCAGTTCATCAGGGCCCTTTACGCCAAGTTTCGACGAATACCAGCACGACGAGCCATGACAAATCGGTGAAACTCGAACCCTGGGATCATATCACCCATATTCCCGATCGTCGGAGGGTTCAAAATTTGAACGCTCAGGTGATTATGCACTTACAGGATGTTTGGGTTGGGTCACTTACAATATGACTAAATAGAGAAAATATCGCCACAAGCTCAAAAGACGATATGCAGAGTTGGAAGAACTGGCCGGGGGAAGAGCGCCCGAAGCATTAAAGTCTATAAAATATACACCAGCGTGCGAGAAGGGGTCTTTATTCCCAGACTCGGAGCTTCAAAATGGCGCGAATATTTCTCGATGCACCTCATACGGCTCGACTGTATTGACAAGACCTCCAACGACCCTGGACCACCCGGAAAGACGCCAGCGAAGCCATAATACTGTCACTGAATTTCCGCACCGTTTTCCCTCTGTCCAACCGGATCGTCAAGATACATATGACCACGGCCGAGATATGTATTGGGAGCCTTTGGCTGCTTCTCCATCAGGGCCTGACTCCCAATCCTTTGCACCACCGGAGATGAACGACGCTTCGCTCGAAGGCTGCTATGCAGACGAACAAGAAATATGCCCATGGAACCTGGCGTATAACTCCCTATTAGGTTTATGAATGTCTCTAAAAGTACTCGGCTTGGAAGGAGTGAGATTGATAGTGAAACATACCAGCCCCAGTTTGAAAGAAAGGAAAATGATGTATTGCTGATGCCAAACCAATTCGACACTAAGTCGACAGCCTCATTATATCTCTCTTACGTGCCAGCTGCAACCATGCGCTTTTTCAGACAAATGAACAAAACATTGTGGCGTCTGATGGTCAAGAAGATGGTCAAGAAGCTGGGAAATGGTGTTAACGTAGTGACCCTAATGTTGTTCCTCAAGTAGCGCTCACCGCTTATACGTTGGTGACATCTGTATCTATTTCAGCTTGTTCAAGTAAACCGCGTAGGATCTTGCCTGTGCTAGACCGAGGAATCTTGGTGACGAATACGACACCTCCGGTCAGCTGCTTGTATGAGATGAGCTGGGACTTGACAAATTCCTCGACGTGTTCCTCCGTCAGCCGAGGCCAGCCCTGGGCATCAGAGTTGCTAGGTCGTTGACGAACCACATACGCGCGAAGTAATGTATCCACAAGACCACGTTCATCTTCAGAAGCGACACCGGCCACCGCCACGTCAGATATCAGCGGGTGACGTGATAGGATACTCTCAATTTCGGTCGGAGACACCTGCCAGCCTTTGACCTTGATGGTTTCCTTCATTCGACCGGCGTAGAAGACCTTGCCAGCTCGAAGGTAAACGAGGTCACCAGTTCGAAAGAATCCCTCCCGGTCAACGGCCGCTTGGCTCGCGTCCACGTCGTTGAGGTAGCCGGAGAACATGCTTGGACTGTGGATCAGCCCTTCTCCAGGGTTCCCTTCGGTCGAGAAAAGGGTAGACACTGGAGAGCGATCGACTTTCATCCGGACATTCGGCAATAAGTGCCCTACGCTCCCAGTATCGTCCTTCTCCCGCCAGGAAAAGAGCGTAATCCAGCCGGTTTCGGTGCTGCCCCAGCATTGCGAAATCACGGCATTCGGGTTCAGGACATTGTAGAGTTGATTTTGAACCGCCGCCGACATCGGGGCAGCGGCAGAAATGAGATGCCGTAATGAAAGAAGGAGATAACGCTCAGACGGTGGAATCGAGGCAACGCTGGACGCTATTGAAGGCACGATTGCCATGTCTGTGATGGTAAAGCGGCCGACCGCTCGGGTGAAATCTGCCAAATCGAACCGTGGGAGGAAGTAGGTAGGAATTCCCAGCCGTAACGGCAGAAGCATGGCCAGTGGCATGGCAAAGGCATGAAAAATCGGCAAGAAAATCAACTGTCTTGGCTGTATGACATGTCAGAATGATCGTCTTGCCTTCGCGATGGAAAAGGGGAAGAGACATCGTGAATGAAAAAGGATAACACGGACCACATAAGTCTTGGCACGAAATTCATTTTCCAAAGTCGCAGTTTGGGAAACTATTGATCGATGAGAGAGCATGGCGGCTTTCGGGAGACCCGTGGTGCCGCTGGTCATTGCATAGGCCGCAATTTGACTCGGTTCCGGTCGCTCCCAATCATCTTCGCCATACCGAAGTAGGTCGTCCCAACTTCGGCAACCCTTTGGATCTCTCTCCGATTCGAGATCAATCAAGAATATGTGATCGGCGGCAAGCGATCCGTGCGAAGATACTTCAAGGACTGGTTCTGAGCATTGTACCTGGGTCACAACGAACTTTGGATTCGTCAACTTGAAGATGTGGGACAGCTCGGAAGGCGTGTAGCCTGGGTTCGTTCCCAGGACGCAACCTCCCGCCCCGATTATCCCGAGCCAGATCAGCGGATACCAGATCTAATGGTGTCCTTGTCAGTGCATTCTTTTCTTGAATCAGTCCGGGGTTGTGTTCGCCGGGGCAGTCGAAAGCCCTGTTTCGCGGGAAGGGGTCGGTTGCCGCGATGGCCTGGCTTACGTTGTTGTACATATGACAGCAAACCACGTCCTGTTCCTGCAATCCATGTTCTTTGAAACCCTTGACAAGTCGACGGATAATGTAATAGGCTTGATACCAGGATATCCTCTTCGAAGGGTCTTTAGCATCCACGAAGACCTAAATGTGTTTAGCCCAGTTTACGGCTAGGAGGATCGATTTTATTTACCTGTTGATCATTCTCGAACAGCCCCGGACGATCGAATGCGAACGTCAGAACATCCGTGGATGGAATAATGACCTCCTGAGGCCTGGGAGCAATGGGTACGGAGGTCGACATGATACTACTATTATGGTTAGCAGCGGCTCTCAATGAGAGAGTGCAGGTGGAATAGACTTTCTCGATGAATCAGAATCGGCGGAGAGGTCACGTACTGCCGTAGTATAACTTGCCACGCAGGACAAATTTCATTTGTCCGGTGTCCAGATTCCTACGAACCCAGAACCAGGCACGTATGAACGGGGTTGAAGATCAACTTATATTACTCGAACCAGTTTGCCCCTCATGCAGTGGAAGGTAGATGGGTCTCAGTCTATTTCCAATTTCCAAATGCTCGACCTTCTGACGCCACCGTAAGAATCCAAGAGCCGATCCACCATGGACCTGATACCGTGGTAATGTAGCTAGGACATAGGTACAGAATTGTAAAGAACAGTACTGCATGTTTCGTGGAATGTGACTACAGTATTGCCAATGTCTAGCCTATAAGTCCTTGCTTCTAGACAAACTTGAATCTTGTTTCGAGCTTGTCTCTACGACTCTAGGTCTTATTACTCAAAGACACCATCATATACCGGGCGAAGCTCGTGAGAAGGTGAACCTTTAATGGAGATGCGGATTACTATACCTTCACCTCTGGACAAGTCCCGGCCAGCATTACCCCTCGCCAACCACCCGAGTTGTGCGGCCGGTGAAAGCCTACCACCTTTGCCTGACCGGAAGTATCATCCTCTCATACGCGCTCTACGTTGGTCGGTTTTCTCTGTTTATCGCCGGCTTTGCTTGCTGATCATCATGATCAACATCCTTACAATGGCGGCCCTCGGCGCCAGACATCAACTCTTCTCGTTGTCGTCAGGCGCCACCACTGCGGCCAGCTCGATCAACCTCACGACCGCTGTCCTGATACGCCAAGAACTGGTGGTAAACTCGCTTTTTTGGATCCTGGGCCGATTTCCAACCTCAACTCCTCTTCGCCTTCGACGCCTGGCGGCGAAGGTATATCATCTTGGCGGTGTTCATAGTGGCGCCGCCATCGCAGCTACTCTGTGGTTCGGTATCTCCAACGTGACCCTATTCAACTCTTTGAGCTCGACCTCAGCCAAGGAGAGCGAAATCTCCATCCGGACCATCACCATTCTCCTCGACATCCTGCTGGTCACGACAATCGCGACCGCCTTTCCAGCCTTCCGTACCTGGGCTCACGATCTCTTTGAGATCATTCACCGTTTCTTGGGATGGATTGCTCTGGTCCTATTTTGGATCTTGTTTGGGTTCCTGGCTCACGTCCAGCTTACTGACAGTCCCCAACTCACCGTGATGGATGTGGTCGGTGCGAGTCCCGCATTCTGGAGTCTCCTCCTGGCAACTTTCTCCATAGTGCTGCCCTGGCTCCGTCTGCGCAAAGAGTCTGTTCGTTCCGAGCCACTTTCCGATCACGCCCTTCAGCTTCATTTCGCCGGAGAGCGTCTGCCACTGTGCGCGGCGGTCCGGCTGTCAACGCGTCCTCTGCTGGAATGGCACGCTTTTGCCACCATTCCATCCGACGACGGTACAGGGTATTCTGTCATCGTGTCCAATGCCGGAGATTGGACGGCTCACCTGCTAGAGTCACCACCAACCAAGCTTTGGGTTCGAGGCATGCCGACCATCGGAGTGCTTCACATGGCGCCGATGTTCAATAAGGTGGTCCTAGTTGCCACCGGGTCGGGCATCGGTCCCCTGTTATCACTGACGGCGCATCGGCACCCTGTTTGTCGAATTATATGGTCAACGCCAGATCCCGTTGCTACTTACTCCAGGTCAGTTGTGGAGAAAGTTCGAGAAGCCGACCCGGATGCGATGATCTTCAACACAACCGAGTCTGGTCGTCCTGACCTTGTCAGACACATTTATCGACTCTATTTCACGTCCGGTTCGGAAGCTGTCTTTCTTGTCTCCAACCCACGGACGACGAGAAAGGTCGTGTACGAGCTTGAGTCTCGTGGCTTGCCAATTTTCGCACCGATTTTTGACTCTTAACCTCCCAAGAAATTCAGATGAATATGAACTTGCCACGGGACGTGTCGAAGGGCAGGAAAAGAGATGTTTCGACGTGTATTCGCGTCGAAAACGAATAAAGGCCATCTCTGGGAGATCATTGTGCACAATTTTGTGGTAAAATACTGAATGTGACACGAAGAGACGACGTGTTGCCACATGGCCATTTTATCGAACATCAGGCAGCCGTGTAGGCAATGAACAGTAGCAGTCTGTAAAGACATGCAATTGGGACCTGGGGACGGTAAATCTACTGACCGAAGCTAGACTCGTAGATCCTTACTAGAGACTCTTAGTGCATATATTGTATGTATACCGTCCATGAACACGCCGTACTCTGCTGCACTCTATCACTCACCACAGTGAAACCGACATTTCTTCTTTGCAGCATGCACATCATCATCGGCGACCCTCTTTCGCTTTCGATGGTCAGATGTCCCAAAGCAAGCGTTCAACCCTTGTTCGCTCGCGAGGTCAAGAACGGCGCTTGGTAACCCGCTTATAGGAGCCCCTGACGGAGTGGAGCGACCCATACGTATGGTTATGCTGATTTGATCTCCAGTGTCATAATTTATACGCCTGGAGAAATTGCCATTCTCATCACGGTGAGTGTCGTCATCCCAATTGCAAGTCATGGGTTGTCCGTTCACATACAGCTGTGCACGTCCAGCTGCAAGCCGAGTGAGTAATGACTTGAAAGCGGGATCAACCCCCGGTATTGAACACAAAAGGAACCCGGCGCCAATGAACTTCCCATCTCGACGGGAAGGCATCCCACTCAGCTCAAAATAAAAGAGAGAGGCGATGGCACAATGAGCCAGGTGATCGATCTGCTCTGTCAGCGAATCATCGCCCTCGACTCTATTCAGAAGCTTTGGTATTTGATTTACGTCGTCAAGTGCGTAGTCACGATCCATTTCGTGATCCAGACGGTGATACCGAGGATGATGGGCGAACGCTTGGCGGACCTGCTTGTCTCTCGATTTCTCCCAGATCAAATCCTGAATGCGAAAAGGAGCCTTCCGGGCCTTCGCGGTTGGAGCATCTTGTGCGACGTCGACGTCTGGGATTGTTCCGGTGCCTAAAGATACGATGAAATCGGTCCGTGACGACGGATAGAGCGTTTTCGCTTCCGACACCACCGTGCTGACCGGATCGTTCTCCAGAAGGCCCGCGTCTTGAAACGTGCCTAGTTGAGGAACCTCTTTGGTCGGAAAGAATCTGCGAGGCAGAGTCAGCTTGATCCCGACATTGCAATATGGATCACCACTCACGTGGGGGCGGCAGAGGCTGCCCGGGCACTGATCAGAGGCTGTCAGTATCAAAGCAGACTATAGCAT